TTTACCAGGTATCGCAAGTGCAAGTGCACAAGTACCGATTGCGTGCGTTGGCTCTCTCTACCTCTGGTCTTTGGCACGACCAGATTGTAACACTACGCTTCAGGCTCACTCGGACAAGGTGCTGTCATTCTATTGGAGAAGCACTCCTCTAATTTCTCGTTCTCGCCATGCCAGGATGACCTGTTTCCAGTCTTGTGAACTTCTTCTTCCTCTTCCAGACATGAGTCTTAGTCCGCGGCCATAGTTGTCACCAGACATGGTAGTCAAAGCTTCTTGGTTCACCAACCGCTGAGTCTGACCTATATCCCTGGCACCTTGCCAGGGCAACATGTGGGTGCATTGACAAGCCCAACATTGCAGTGCAGTCTCGGCGCGGCGTCTAATAAAGGTTTGCATTCTTCTCGGGGGGGTTCAATTGCCGGGGTTTGCGCCCGTCAGGGCTTTCGTCGCGAGCTTCTAGCGAGTCTAGTGCGGCATTACAGCTGCCTGTCGGATTTGCCCCGGGTAAAGCCGCTCTGCGGTGCCTCACCGGCGACCACTCGACTTAGCCGCTTCTGCATGCTGGTTGCAAATTGTGAAACCCCTGTCTTCGGGGTCAGGCCGCAGTCAGCAAAAATCATGGGGTTGGTCTCATCCGTATCGCCCTATGGAAATGGCACAGCTACGGATAATCTTATGGGTAGAGTCCTAGCGGTGGAGCGGGGCTTGTCACAACACGAGGCCGATAAACAACCAGGAACTAAAAGTCCCAACACCCAACAACTGGCAGAAACTCGCACGTACTTGAAGTTGCTCGTTGCATATCTGTTGCTGACACTAGAACGTAGTAACATGCCTGCGGCCCCACGAAACAGACTCAAACTGTGGCTGGGTAGGCGACCATGTACTGGATCGCTCGTTTGGGGACGTCTAAGACTGTCACCAAACCAGCACATCAGTCGTATCTGCCAGTCGAATTCTGCTACAGAGTTTTGCAGTATGGAGGCTCCTAAACCTTGACTTCCCAAAAAAAACCCTAGAGACTCCCTCTGAGCTGTATATAAGCCCTGCCCCATAAATATGCCAAGCCCTATAGCCCCACCCTTCCTAGTTCGCACCTCTGGGATCCTGGCTCACGTACGTCCATTGAGGGCTGGCCTCCTGGCAGCAATCGGAAGCTGATGCCTCCCTGGTAGTTTGGGGTTTAGGATCTAGGGATCTAGGGTTCAGGGCTCAGGGTCTTATTGGTTTCTTGCATTGTGCTGGTGTCTATACACCCGTCTACCAACGCTAACTACTAGTGTCTGTGATCAATATGATTCGTCCTTGTGATCACACTGCTCTGCTGCTTGACCCGTGCAGGGTCCTCATTACGAGATTGACGTCGGCTTTTGGCGATCCAAAGCTTGATCGGATTCAGCAAGCTACCCATGTATGCGGCTTGCGTAGACATCTTCTGTCAAGGACCGTCTACCTGATACGATTCAAGAAGCTTGCCCGGAGGACACAAGGGGTATTGGCCTAATGGTGCAGTTCCCTACGGGACTATGGGCTTCTTGCAACCCACAAGCTTCGGACGAGCGCCTTCCGTCGAAATGGTGATCGGAAGCAGAAGCAGCAAGGCCTCAGGATGGCAACGATTCTGAGCTCCTTGAGTGCCGACGGAATAGCCCAGGCCCTGGTCCTCAAAGTCTCAACCGGAAGTTCTGCACTTTAGAGCCTTGCAAAAAGGCCTGGAGGAGTCTGTAGTCAGGGCCTCAGTTTCCCAAGCCTCGGGCCTCTGGTCCAGATGTACTTTCACGATTTTGACAAGACTTCGGACTTAAGACCTTCTGCCGAGCATTACTCAGCCACTCCATCTTAGCCAGAATGTTAACTCCTTTTCTTCGCTGCAAACCTTAAAGTCTTGACAGGCCCCGACAGACTTATGATGATCCCCTAAACCCTAAACCCTTATGATGCCTCTGCGGGAGGACGGAACTGTTACAACAGAACGAATGGGCGCGCATCTATTCTTCATTCGGTTCTCCTGTTGTCTGAGTATATGCATGGATGCATGCATGCATACATACATACATGGATACATACGTACACACGCATGCAAACACGATAGATACGCTCATCCGTTCGTTCGTTCGGTCGTTCGAGAGAGCGTTCTTCAATCATACATCAATCCCTCTGTTCATCATACATTCGTTCATTCAGTCATTAACTCCTTACTCATTCGTTCGTGCATTCACTCATTCGTTCGTTGATAGTCTTTCGTTGAATGATGAACTGATTCGTTCAGGGGTTCAGCGGATGATTGATTGTTTGATGGGTTGAATCATTGATTCATTGCATCACTAATTCGTTCAGTCATTCATTTATGCATTCGTTCATTCTTTCATTGAGTCTGTCAGTCAATCAGTCAGTCACTCACCCAAACAGACTCACAGACTCAAATACTCGTTCACTCACTCAAACAGACTCACAGACTCAAATACTGGCTAATTTATCCATCCATCTATCCATCCATCCATCCATCCAGCCATCCACGTATTCATATAACAGTGTTTTATAAGTACATGCACATTCAATGGAGGACAAGGTCGTCAAAGCCCTACGCAGCTAGATCCACGCCTGCTGTTCCCCACTCTTTGTTTCAGCCGAAGCTGACGATGTACTGATTATTACTGACTTCGGTTCGGGAATACAGAATGTGTGCGTATGTTACATGTAATGTGGCGGTCGGTTTAATAGTGGGGTACCCCCCCCCCCCCGACCAAAAATAAAAGTTCTATTTAATGTGGAGCCGGTGACGCCGGACAGGGGTCAGGGGTCTGAGTGGCAGGGAATTGGGAGTTGCCGGGGTTTGGGGGCTGGCTTGGGTGCAGGGTCTGCGGTTCTGCGCGAATGCGCGGTCGGGGGTCGGGGGGGGGTCTGGGGATCACCAAATGCTGGAAACCAAGCCCCGATCACTCCAAGATTACTTCATTTTGAACACTTTTGCCTCCCTAACCTACACTCCCACACTCCCACCCACAATCGACCACGTATGAAGCTTGGTGCGGTACAATGATAGTACAGTAGTACAATAGTAGTACAGTAGAAATAATACAGTAGTAGTACAGTAGTAGTACAATAATAGTGCAGTAGTACAATAGTAATACAACAGTAGTACAGTGGTAGTACAATAGTAGTACAGTAGTAGTACAAAAATAGTACAGTAGTACAATAGTAGCACAATAGTAGTACAGTAGTAGTACAGTAGTAGTACGATAGTACCGTAGTACAATAGTAGTACAGTAGTAGTACAGTAGTAGTATAATAATAGTGCAGTAGTACAATAGTAATACAACAGTAGTACAGTGGTAGTACAATAGTAGTACAGTAGTAGTACAATAATAGTACAGTAGTACAATAGTAGCACAATAGTAGTACAGTAGTAGTACAGTAGTAGTACGATAATAGTACAGTAGAACAATAGTAGTACAGTAATAGTACAGTAGTAGTACAATAGTAGTACAGTAGTACACTAGCAGTACAGTAGTAGTACCACAGTAGTACAGTAGTAATACAGTAATAGTACAGAAATAGTACCAATAAGCAAAGCATAAAGCCAGTGAGCAGATTCCCCCAATAAGCAAAGCATAAAGCCAGCGCCTGAAACCCTAAACCCTGAACCCTAAACCTTAACAAACCCTAAACCCTAACGAATCCTAAACTCCTAAACTTCCTAAACCCTATAACAAACCCTAAACCCGAAGCCCTAAACCCTTCCAAAGGGGGGTCGGTCCAGATTCGACCCAAAACTGCATTTTTTATACAAAGTTTAGTACTGGAGAGGCCTCTTTTGAGCTAGGGTCCAATCCCCGATTCGGCGGTTCACCCTAGCAGCCCCCCAGCCCCCCCCAATAATCAAGGTATAGTAGAATAGTAGTACAGTAGTAGTACAGTAGAGGTCGTGGCTGCCTTAAGATTGACCATCAACAAACAGCACAGCCCCGCCCCCAAAAAATCCCCCCAGCAAAAAAAAAACGCATTAATTAGACCGCGCCCAAATTTTTGGTACCGGTCGGAATAAGCCCCCGAGCCGACGCACTAGAGGAGCCCATATTCCTAAACCGACCGGCACATTAAGTGTGTACGTCTGCAAACGTGTTTGCATGAGTGTGCGTGTATGTATGTACGTAGGTAGGTAGGTATGTATGTGTATGTGTATATATATATATATGTATATACATATGCGCACATGCATGTCTATCTGTCTGTCCGTCTGTGTCTTTTCTCAGCTTCCAGAGATGAAGCCATGCATGGTATACACATGCAGCAGCATGAACAAGGCCCACTGCCAAATGACAGTCTTGCTTGCGTATTTATTCCTTGACTTGTATGGAGAACAAACCCGAAGGGCACTGGCCCGCACCCCAGTGCAGGAGGGACTAGGGATTTACATGCCGGGTTCCTGTGTTCATTTGGACACGGCCCCGGGGCCGTGACTGCTCCTCACCCGCATTCTCCTGCGCTGGGCAGGAAACGAAAGCCTTGGGGCCCCTCTTCTCCAAGATCCGCATCTTGCTCCCAAGATCCCCAAAGGGCTGTAAGCCCTCAGACATCAGTTAAACCAAACTCCTCTGAGCGCTTGTTTCGATTTCATCTTTTTGGCAGTTGAAGATCTGGGACGTTCTTCAACTGTGAAGGCCAAGATATCTCAGGTACGCGTGCGAGATTTATACAGCATAGCAATGCTGAGACTGATGGTCCGGTCGCAAGTTGTCATCTATCCTGTACTCACAAACTGGGGTCTCTTAAAGGACTTAGGCTTAGGCATCCTCCAGACTGGGACTGTTTCAACCCTCATTCTGCAATCTCACCACTTATCATCTGCAAACCAGCTCACAGCGACGTAACAGGAGAACCGGAAGCTGGTAATAAAGCTGGGCTACACTACCATACTGAAGGCCAGATGAGTATAGCCTGGACCATACAAGCTGACAGGATTTTACACAAAGCTACACATTCTAACAAGACCGGAAACATTAGCCATGCGGGTCCGACATTCGCGCCTTCGCGCTCTCCTCTACCAGTGGACTCCTTTCCCTTTCCTGCAGCTTTCCTGAGCACTTGAAGGTGCAGGGCATCCAGGAGTAGCGCAGGGGCAGAATCGAAAACAAACGGCAATCCGACGACGACGAACTGCAAACAAAGACCAGCCGTTCACGAGGTCGAATCCAAGTACAGCCTTCTACCCTAAGTATAAGGCTCCATGTGTCAAGACGCCATTGAGAAGTCTGTGGTTCTGGGGTAAATCAAAGATCCCCGAGGTCCTTTGCAGGCCTTTTCCCACAAAATTTGTTCACCACTGCCCTCTCTGAAGACCGAGCTTGACGCCTGGCTGCTGAACTCTCATGCTGTGCGAGGGTCTGTCGCCCTCTTGGATGTGCGACAGTGACCGCCGCGTCTGGCAGGCGCAATAGGCGAACATCACTGAAAGGCAGACCTTAGAAACTTTCGGGTTCAGCTCACAATCATAAAAACAGCAGATCGAAAGAAAAGAAGCCGATAATCTGTTCTCTGGACCGTGTTACCTGCTCAACTGTGCGCCGCACTACACCTGCCCGAATCATCTCGGGCGGTAGCGACAAAGTTGAAGTCACTGATGTATGGTAGGCTCTTGCTTTGCCAGCGTCCGGGCGCATCGCTGAGTCCCAAGTTTCCGGACCAAGGACTGAGGGCAGCACCAGGATGTGGTACAGGAAAGACTCATTGTACGCTCCATCTATGGGGACTTCAAGCTCCACAATGCCTGAAGACAGAAAGCAACCGGGAGTGAAAGCTGAAAATACAACAGAGATGGGGATGCTGATGCACAGGGGCTCGAGGCAAATTAGGTACCAGGATGCCGATGATGATGCCGATGACCGATACTGTCTGATGATGATGATGACGATGATGATGATGATGGGAAGGAAGAGGATAGGAACAGAATCACTCCATGCCAAGTTTACCATCGCCACGCAGTGCAGCGCCATCAGCGCCAGCACCACCACCAACAGCAGCAGCAAAGGCACCGGCAGGCACCGGCAGCAGCACCGGCACCGATAGCGGCAGTCACCAGCAGCGCTACCATCACCGTCACCATAAAGGTCATGATGATTAACATGGCTGTGCAGAGTATGATGACCATCATCGTCATGACCTCCACCAACATCATCACCATCTTCATCATCACCTGCACAATCCTCAAACTCCAAGAACTCCGGGATACGGACTGGGAGAAAATGATCCAGAAGTGATGCGGAAAGTTGTTAGCCCCATCCAGTACGACACAACTGCTATTTTAATTTTAAGCTGCTTTCTGCCTCCAATAGTCAAGATGTTATCGAAGCCGGCTTCACCTCTCGCCCGCTCTGGCAGCCCTGACAGGCCTCCGATCACATACATCAAGCCGCTCAAGATCATGAGCAGATGTTGCGGCCGGAATCTGGAACCTGGTGGCACAGGCCTATGACCCAGTTTCGGCAAAGAGTAGACCTCGTCGGGAAATTGGCCACGCTGCTTCATTCCAAAGCTTTAGGAAGTGAGGTTGCAACCACGTCGAAGGCTCTGAGCACTGCCCTCTCTGCACACGAAGAAATTCGCAGGAGTCACCAGCTTGCATGCCAAAAGTATACAGTGACGGGCATGAGGTTTTCCAACACTGCTGCATGATGAGCAACGTGCAGCATTGATTAACAGTCCCTCGGGGAGGCTTCTTGTTGTCATGTCGCCTGGCCACGAACTCCGAATCAAAGGCCGCAAAGCTCTACGCCGAGGAGCTCAGCGCTTCGAGTAAGGGAACCAGGATGGCGCAGGCGGCCATGAAGAGGCTCCCGAACTTGTAGACCTTGCATGGAGGATCATGGGACTTAGTTATAAGTAAGGTTGCAAGTACCTCAATTAAGGTCATACGTACTTATAAGAATAATGACCTTATTGATAGCCCTAAGCCTAGTTACTAAATCCTAAGTCCCATGATCCTTTAAGTAGTGTTCATTGTTCTTGCTTCTTGGATGTAGGGCCGAGCTCGGGCAGAACTCAGCCTCGGGCTCCTGCTCAAGATTTGTGGAGCTTTTGGGCTCTGATTCCAGCTCGAAAGCCTTCCTAAACCATCAGCTAAAACCTTCCCCAAACCCGAAACCACGTACAAACCATCCTAAACCGCTTTTACGGTCTGCAAGCTTGCAACGGTGTGAGCCCTTCCGAGGTAGTCGGTCTCGAGTTCTGGGTTCTGTGGCGAAAGAAAGCCATCATACTCACAATCAGGACTGTACATAAGAGGATACTAGTACTGGTTATGAAGGCGCAGAGCCCAAAATGGGAGTTTCCGAAGATAGGGGGGAACCTAATGTAGCACCCTAAAAAGTCGGATCCTTGTTATACGGACCCCAAAACAAGGTACCCCTTACCTTCGGATTCGGAAAATCAAACCCTACAGAGCCCTGTAAAGGAACCCTTAAAGGTACCCCCCCCCCCCCATTTTTTGAAAACTCCCACACTCGAGAGCAATACGCAGCCGAGGCACTAGGGACAGCGGTTCGCCTCTCACAAACCTCCGGCGCATCAATCGCAGATTCGCTGCAGGGTTTAAGGAGGGTGTGGGGTTTAGGGTTTAGAGGTGTCGGGCTCTACTACTACTACTACTACTACTACTACTACTACTACTACTACTACTACTACTTCTGCTGTTTGGAGGTTTGGAGATCTAGGGTTTAGTGGCTTAGGGTTTAGGAGTTTAGGGATTTAGGGTACAGGGGTTTAGGGTTTAGGGTTTAGGGTCTGCTGCTGCATCGCTTTTCTCACTCATCGTTTGCAGAGGTGGTTCTCTGATCTACGACACCTGGTATTCCAGTGTGTCTCTGTCCCCAATGCCAGGCATGTAACCGGCAGCTGAGTCTTCTTTTTCTGACGATGATGATGATGCTGGTGGTGACCTTCATGGAGACGAACTGGTTAGCTACAGTCCTACTCTTGCCTTTTTTGTAGTGCTGCATGTGATTACTGTCGCTTCTGTTGTGTAGTGGCTCGTTGCTTATGTTGTTGCAGCTTCTTTATTTGGTTTAGTGGTTGGTGCTGTTGTCGTTCTTGTTGGGATTGGTGCTGGTGTTGGCGTTGCCAGTTGTGGAGGTGGTGGCGGTGGCGGTGGCGGTGGCGGTGGCGGTGGTGGTGGTGGTGGAGGTGGTGGTGGTGGTGGTGGTGGTGCTGCTGCTGCTGGTGGTGCTGGTGACGGTGCTTGTGGTGGTGCTGGACAAGAATAGTATTTCCACTGCTCTTTGATTGTTCGGTTATTGTTACACTTGCTGCCATCATGGTAGGCTTGACGATTTAGCACGGCAATGTCATGGTGCAGATTTCGGCTGCGATCGCTGTCCACTTCGTGCTTTTGTCTGCTTTGTCCTTACGATTGCATGGACGTAGGTCATGGTCCGGATGTACGCCGAAGCCAAGTCACCAAAGTGTCTCGTAGGCCGCGAGCCCAAAGGCTATCACAGTGAGGAGAACGACAAATCCGATGCTGGGCAACCGATGGCTGGCACCTGGGACTTCTTCTGCGTTCAGACGCCTGTTCAGATCTCGGGAACGGAGTGGTTTGCTCGTGTCAGGGGGATTGAACGGAACCTTAATCTAGATTAACGGCCACAGTTCTAGGTGACGGTCAGACAGGGTCTAGCTGCCAGAACGTGAGGCCCAGGAGTCGACCAGAAAGTGTTGCAGGACTCCCTGCTGGCAGCTCTACTTCGATCTGTCGTACATGCAAGACATCGGCGTGGAGCTCATCGCTCATCAAGCCCCACTCTGAGACTCTAACTTGCAAAGAGAAGCACAAAACCAGTCATGCATGTAGTCCGGGCAACTACGGATCAGGCCGCCAAGCTGCCAAAACTCGTAATGCTAAGAGCCACCGCGGCAAGCGCTGCCGTGGAGAATGGCCAAAATGCAAGGGTAAAGGCCCAACAATACCTGGTTCAGGCTTCGAGACTAGACGGCCTGCGTGCCAAATATTTAGCCAGGGCCTGCTCAGGAAATGTTCGGGGTGTCGTTGGGCTAAACGGAGGTGAAATACAGCCTAAACATGCAAGATAAACACACAGCCATGCTATGATGCATTATATATATATATATATATATATATACATATGTACACATACGTATATCCGTGTGTATATATATATATATATATAATGATGATGAAAAACATAAATATATGCGCATCTATATATATATATATATATATATATGTGTGTGTACATACATACGTGTGGGTGTGTCAGTCTGAATTGTGAGCATGATGTGTCTTTCGAGGCCTACACGTTCGCAGGAGACTTGCGAACGTTTCCAGAGGCCATGAAATGGCCCACCAAACATCTGCAGGCGCAGTTGCTACCGGGAGAGTGTGTCGTAGCTTGCGCATTCTAGCGTGTAGCCACCCGACAAGAGGTTTTGCTTGTCGTGTTACGCATTTGTGTGAGCCGCATCTACGCGCTTACTGCCTGCCTGTCTGATGTCTGCCTGTCTAGTTGTCCCTGTCCATGTACAGAGAGGGAAACAGAGCAGGAAATATGCACAATATACGGTCGGATTTGGCTATAAAACATCACAGCACGCCATGTCATAACACAGGACAGCCTGGCATAACAAACAAAACAGATGTTAATCCAGCATGACATAAGGTGCGACGAAACAAGATCAAGCAAAGCTAAATGAAAGGGTGAAGACAAGATGAATGTGTGGGCAAGGATGAAGTAGTGTCGGGCAGGGTGGGGTCAAGGGTGCTACGAGACAAGATATGTGGAAGCATAAGCAGCTGCCAGATCGAAGCCAGGAATGATGGGCGTCCCCTGAGGAGACATGACATGCATAGCAGCCCCACGTGAACCCTGAACCCTGGAGGCACGAAGCCCAAACCCACAGCGGATTGCATGTGACAAGGGACATCCACTCATGATTGGGCTTGCTCCATTCATGACTGCAGGGCTTCCTTGGATCTTCGCAGAAACCGGCCACAAGACACGACCACTACGGTTGATGAAAAAATCCTGCACTACCTTAAGGACCCTAAACTATGGAAATTATGGTATATTCCAGATTCTGGGTAATGCAGGATTTATATCATCAACCGTAGTTCGCGTTTAGGGCATCGGGCTTACTAACAAGAGGACTCAAACGAGGGTCTACAGCAAAGAGCTTCAAATGAATCAGGCCGTGGCTCAGGTAAAGAAGCATGAAAGCCGTCCCACCAAGGCCAAAAGTTAAGCAGGTTGCACAAGCAAAAATCAAAAAGAATTGCGACGCCGTCGATGAGGCCTGGCAGAGGCTCTCAATAGCTTCCGGCTCAGGCGACTAAATCTCCTTGAAAGCACAGGGAAGGCATGAAGAGCAGGGCTAAATACGCTGTTAGACAGAAGTGGTGCTAGACTCCCAACTATGCGTGCGAAATGCTAGTTATGTACCACTTTTGACTGCTCATGCCATGCATATTCAATCGAGCGGGGGGGCGGCTTATCGCCAGAAATAAGGGTGCCTGATTCATGCCGGACAGCACGGCGCACGCTATGCAGATGCCAGCGACAACCTTTGCTCGACAAAACTTTACTGAGCTGTCCTTGAGACACTCCGAGGCTGAATGAATGTCGAGTGCTTACAGCAACTCCAGTACTTCCCTTACGTCTTGATGTTGCTGTCTTTTCGGCATGGCATGGCATGGCATGGCAACAAAGAGCCGGGGGCAGGGAGAGCGAGGGATGTAGAGAGCCGAATGCATTGCGTAAGCGAGTGAGTGGGTCGGCGACACTGACCTGGTAGGTGCTGTTCGGTGCGGCAGGGAAGTAGCAGAGGATGATTCATGCAAGAGATCGCTTTAACGTTCTCAGGCCAGATCGAGGCAGGGTGGTGTACATAGAGTCGAGCGGACACGAGACGAGCAAGAAAAGAGTGAAGACAGCCGCTACCCAGTGCTGCCGTGCCGCATAAGAGCTTGACCAAACTGGAACCGATGCATCCCAGAACTGGCATGCTTGCCAGTGCGACTCCATCGTCGCCTGACGAAAATGCACCTATAACTTCTATATTGAACAAAAGTTTGGATTCGTCTGCTGCTGTAGATTACAACTGTCCAAAGAACTTTGCAGTTATGAAGGCCTCACCGCCTCTGCACAGTTCGAGGTACAACGACGCCTCGACTGGCAGCCAGCTAACCATTAGCTAAACTGATAACTGATGCCATTGCAGTCCATATCTACTTATACGGTCACATACCCCAACGCCTATTCCCATCTTCAGCGCTTCGAATCTGTGACACTGCTGCATTGACTTGGGCCTGGGCCCCAAACCCTGGAAAGCAACAATCAACCCTAAACTCGTAAACCTTAATGACCATGGATCTCGTCTTCTGGACATAGAAGGCCCTCTACTCCCACACAGCCTGACTTGTGAGATCCCAGTTCTTTTGATCGTTAAAGTACAACGAAACCGCCAACTGCACGGATCAGGTTGCGCTCCGACACGATTAAACGTTATCGTTTGTTTTATGTATATAACTGGTCGTCTTCGATGTAAAATCTGGCGACTTTTTAAGACGTGTTGAAGCTACGCTTGGGTGGCTGGATTTGAGTACCTGAAACCTGCCCAACCACGGCGGCACCTGTCAACCACACCTCGAGATCCCAGAACTAAGACCTTCAAATCGTGAAGATTCCAGCTTTCCCGCGTGTTCCCGTGTTATCAAAACCAGGGCTGCAACCAGCACCCCATTCAGAGCATGCGTACACAGATACACAGGAACATGCCGCTCATCATGCTGCAAATCTGCTGCTACATGTTGTCAATCTGTCCATCGGTTGACCTATTTGTCTTGCTGCATGTGAGTACACATGCATGTACAAACACTGGCAAGCATGCAAACTAACACAGCAAGACGAGTGGATCACACAAAAGAGAACTGAGGATTGTGTGTGTGTGTGTGTGTGTGCGTATGCGCATGCACTGCACGCATGCATGTACACCAACATATAAATCTACCTACCGATCTATACCTATAGGCACGTAGAGATACATTGACACTGAGAAAAGGTCGGGCGTACAGAACATACACCAAGACTATCACCAATCACGTGCTATCACATGGGAGTTTCCGAATCTGGGCTCCCCATAATAAGGATCTTACAATTTCGGGTACTATATTAGGGTCTCCCACATGTTTAATGGAAGCCAGACGTACCACTTTGCCTCTGTGCTCGGGGGAGCTCACGGATTTCAGGGCCCTCCGTCGCACGACCGTCAGGTTTGAGCTGCGTGGCTCCGGCGGCGCTGTCAAGGGCTTGAAGTGGTGTTCATTCATGATGACGATGACGATGATAGTCGTGATCGCTATGCGGATGCTAACCTGGATGCACTCGCAGGTACTAACACTCCTCCGGGCAGGTACTAGCTACCAGCATTCCTCCCGGCATGCCCATTGTTCCGCCTGTTGATGCCGCTCTCCTCCTCCTCCTCCTCCTCCTCCTCCTTCGCCTCGTTCTCTGCTGTGCTTCGGCCTACTGATTCCATTACCACTGCCACAAACTTCGCTACTGTCCGTCAGGATGACCTGCCCCGAAAGCCTGATCTTTGAGGAGGCTGGAGTAATCGGGAGCCTAGAGACTCGTCAAGGAAAAATGCCATTTTGCGACGACGACAACTGCTACTACGACGATTGCTTCTACTGCTCAGCCTTCTGCACCTGCTGCTATTTCATGCCTTGCTTTAACCATCTTGATCCGTCCTTGCATTCCTGCTGCTTCAGCATGGGGGTGAGGCTCGCTCCTCAAGTGCTGTCCAGGGTTAACGATCATCCCACATGTTGGTTGGGCAGTGGCTGGGAGGAACAGGTGATCTGTTATCTTCCAGGTTTTCGCATGCCTGCAACCAAACGACACTGAAGGGATCGAGTGCCCGACTGTCGTACCGAAAGGACATCAGGAATGCTAGTAAACGTGCACGATAGCAACTCGAGCATGCGTTGCGTCAGTTCCGGTTTTTGCGACTTGCCTTCGTTAGGCGGTAGATATTTCAGCAATTAGACTTGGTGGTGTGGATCTTAGGCTGCCAGGCAGCAATACCATGCAGCAACAGCACCTTGCTCAACTATCCGCCAAACCTCAAGCCCATCTAATACAGGCCTTAATAACTGGAATAGGGTTTTTGGGGGGTACATTATTTATACTATAAAACAATATTAAGGAACATAAAGGAACCCTCACAATAGTATTGGTAATTATTCAGGCCCCCATATTGAACCCTCTGGGAAACTATACACGAGCCAACAAGAAGGAACTCCCGAATCTTATTATACCTATGTAGAGGAGGACCTAGTTTTATGTTTAGGATCAGGAATTCTCCGGCTTCATCTGCAGCCTAGGACGAATCGGACGGCACTTTACACTCCCAAATCATCGCTGATTGAGACTTGCTGTCTTTCCCAACGCACGCTGAAGCTTTCGCTTTCGCTTAGTGCGCAGAGATATGCTGCATCGGAGGTCGCATCTTGCAAGCACATGCATTGGCAAGTCCAAGCAGATCGGTGCTCGTAGCGGCAACATTAGACGCAGATGCCCATGGCTGTTTTCGGTGTTCAAGATGCACTCGGCGACCTAGCTGAGCAACTGACATTCCGCAACAGACGAGGCACCAAGGCACAACACAACAAAATATCTGCCACGATGCTGCTGAGCTGCTGACCTGTTGCAGCGAAACAGTACTGCCGCACTGCCGGCACCAGAAAGGCTTCAGTCGCACGCAGCCATGCATGTGCTTCTGAAAGATGCAGTCTGACTCGATGTAGCCGTACGAGAGCAGCACGTCAGGAGTCGAAGTCTTGCAGTGGTGACAATCGGCAGACTGCCAAGATTCATCAGCCAAGCCAGACCCTCTACCGATCATATCATTGTTCGAGCAAGTGCAGCAGGATACCAAATGCAGAGCGCAGCCGCCTGTCATGTGCGGGACTCCCACAGAGCTCGGGTACGCGGTCACTAGGTGGGATAGTTGGCATCCCAGTCGGTGCCGTCATCTTCATATTCAGGAGACTGCACCAGTAGCTCTGATCGCGGATGGAAGTTTGCAAGGTCTTTTTTGTGGCGGATGTTGGGTTTGTAAGGCGTGTCCATCTGCAGCTCCGACAAGCTATTCCAGGAAATCTCGGAGAACCAGCGCTGCTCCTTCGTCACGACTTCGTTCATCGCAAGTTTGGGGCTGCTGCTGGGGGTATGACCCAGGATACTTTAGAAACCACACTAATTAATGCTTCGATAAAGGCATGGGTCCTTCAGCTTCGCGAAGCCCTCCTTCACAGGTAATCTGTCCAATGGCTCCTTCCTGGCGCAAGCATCAAGCTACAGATGGCTACCGTGACAACGAAACCCAACCATCGACCATTCACAAAGAGATCCCTTTGATGGCGTTAGGACTCCACGAACTAAATCCCACTCCAATGCGGATACTATTTGTCTGCCCGAAACCCCGTGTGCGGTCTTTAACAGCAGCTTGATGAGATCGCCCGCAGCTCTGGTGTTGCCCTCAGGCATGGCGACCTTCCAGAAACAGTATGCATGCCTCTCTGTCTATCTGTGTGCTTGTCGTATGTATGTGTCTGCGCGCATATATACATGCATGCATACAGAATTAATGAAACATACAGTACAATACAACAGACTAGAATGGAACATAATAGACCACAGTGCAGCGGACGAGACGAGACAATAAACTCATCCATCCGTCCATCCCTCCGTCCGTCCATCTATCCAGCAATCCATCCATCCATGTATTCATCCATCCATGCATGCATGCACGGATGGAAACCATGTATCTGCCTTGCTGATGCCGTGCAGGATGCTGACGTAAATCTGCATGGGGTTCGACGACTCGAAGGGCGGCTTCCCTGACATCAGCTCAAACCTGCGAGGTGACCCTGTGTCTCGGGCTGACTGCGCGGAGTGGGTAGGACTGTTTTGGGTTCCGGGCTTCGCAATTGTTAACATTCCAGGTTCCGAATGAACGCACAAAATCATCTATGGTGTATATATATATATACACACACATTGATGCTGTTATATCAGGAAGGACATGAAGACCAACTAGACAGATTACATTGAATGTTTTGAGGGCAAGTAGCAGAAGGATCCCGAAGCACCACCAGTCCAGCTCGAGGCCATGTCCAGTAGCAAGTACCATCTCCTGTCGGAGAGCACCGATGCAGAAAGTTGAAGCCCAACACCCAAGGATCCTTCAATAGAAACACTGTATCGACCTCGGAATGCTGATTCAGCAGAATCTCTGTCTCTACTCGACATAGCAGTCTTAGGAAAGTCTGCACAAGCCTGAAGATTCCGTCGTTTCACACCGTCAATGTGCAGCCCCGGCTCAGTTTAGCCTTGTCTAGTCAGTTCCGTTTCCATCGCCAAACGTCTACCACCTGCCAAGCGTTGCAAAATCTCGTACTTCTGCTAAGGTACCTGTCGACCCCTGTTCGCACCCTTTCGTTTTTAGCAGCTCGAGGCTTAAGGTATTCGACTTGATTGACGCCATTCGTGGGCCTGAGTCATTTTAAGCTGCTGCCCAAGAACATTTTGAAACTATTGCGAGCAACCGAAACTTCGAAGAATTGTTCGTTCTGCGACCAAAAGCAAATCCGTCACAACTCATGATACACAGACAGAACCTTCGGAGCCCTGCACACGGCGCAGCGGACTTGCCAGTGCAGCCACAGCATGCCTGACTCCAACAGCATGATTCGAAGACCTACCTTGCACCAAATACGAGGGCCCCTAGCCGTGAAGCACATGAGCCCCATGTCTCCGGCGCGTAGTAGTCTGGAATGCCACAGTTGGTAAAGGTCCTCTCCGCCACAAACTTTGCCTCGGCAAATCCGTAGCAGTCGACTTCCAGATGTAGGAGCGTAGGACATCTGACACGTCATTTGAAGAAATCGTACGAGCGATGCTTGGCAAGTCCTGAAGTTGACCGAACTCCTCGCCATACCCTCCGCCGACCCCGACTGCCCCGGCGGAACTCTTCCTTGTCCCTGAAGCTCTCACCCCAGCCGACTTTTTGCAAGGAGGAGGCAAGCCCGAAGTCGCAGAGCTTGATGTTTCCGTCCTGTGTCTTCATGTAGAGCTCATGGATTTCGGGGGGTCTGCTGCAAAGTGAAAGCCTTTGATTTCTGGGGGGAGCCTCTGGGCTTGGAGTAAGGAGGCCGGAAGGCAGTCCTGGGTCAGCAAGATATTCTCGGGCCGCAGGTCTCGGTAAATGATACCTGGATAACTCGAAGGTTCTCATTGTCATGGCTTGCTTCAGGATGAGCGTTTCCGGTTTGAGGCTAGAAATCGTCCGCAGAATTTTCGTTCGTGTGCCTTGCTGTTTGTTCATACCTTTTGTTGTCATATGTCGAGATGGTCTTGCTTTCGCGAGAGAAGCCAAAACATGCCAAAACGCAGCTGACAGCCTTTAGCCCCGAACCGAGTTTCCACATGCATGCTGCCGGCAATGCTCGACTGTTCATGGACCGTAAGTATTACATGCCCTTGCTAGTGTTGAAGCTTTCGTGCTTTCCAACAGGATTCCGACTTGTACAAAAGACAACCGGCTCTTTCACCATCTGACGTTTACAAGATCTCGCAACTTTATAGTTAAACTGTCAGAAATCAAAGAACATGGGCAGCAGAGACACGGCGCTGATGCAGGTAGTGAAGAGCCAATGCAGATCCTGCAAAGGGCAGTGCTCTTCGGTTAAAGCTGAGATGTCATCGCCTCCTCGGTCTGGGATGAGTTTGGCAAGGCTCTTCGGATTGTGCATGTTTCCACATGTCTCATCCTGTAATGACGAAAAAGGATCACGTCTTTTTAAGACCTGTGGCAAACAAGTTAGCTTAGATCACAGAATCCAGGCCGTACCAGCCTGCTCAAAGATGATGGTGATACAGCGTTGTGTGAGCAGTGCAGCCCACAAGCTGGCCGAAATAGTAGGGCGTTCCGTTGACCGAGAGAAGCAGATATCGCATCAGAAGGAGTTTATAAAGAGTTCTGAGTGCATGGCCGCAACCCCAACCCTCGCGCAAGGATGCATTTCCACGCCTGCCGTGTAGAAGGCTGCATGACGCTCGCTTCCATAGAGACGCTTGCGGCAGTACAGGCCATGTAGGTCTCCGCCAAGGGCGGCTTCCTTAGCTCTCTGAGCACAAGTGGTGGGATCCCAGATGGCCCCTGGTGCGCCTGTCCTGCCTCTCGTCGGAGCATTCTTGCAACGAACCAGCAAAAGCAGACAAGCATCTAACAGGAGATACAGCGTGGAAGAGTCGCTGTACGCCCTCGGCTCTCGTGTCGGTGGCATCGTTCTGTTAGTTTTCTAATATCATCTTTGTGCAACTGCGCTTTTGGACTCGTTAGAGATTCGGGCTAGCTGGCTCGCGAACGTCAGAACTCTCCGTTGTGTCTAGTACATGTCTTAGTAATCCGCGACATAGTGCCTATGAGTTGCTACTTTTGTGTTCCAGGTGTCTGCAACCAAGAACTCCCTACTAGTACAGTTGACTGATCGCGCAGCTCTTTCATGCAGACTCTTAGTGATACGCAGTATGCTTTTGCGACTACCCCAGATTCTGCTTGAACTGCAAGATGGAGTGAGACAAGCCGCTCGAACAGCTGAACGACGAAGGGCGAGAGAATGTACATAAGTACATGCTTCTCATTCAGGGCCACGTACTGCTTGCCCTTCTGCACCAACAGGGCTTTCGACATACCTGTGAAACAAGGCACTGCAGCGCGAGACTACTGTGTAACAGGGCTTCCTTGCTATGGGGGGCGGGGGGCAGGCTCTGAGCACAACAGTCTTCAACACTTAAACATTTTCTTCTGCGATGGACCCTTCGCCTCCCTTCAGTTGCCAGTATTGCCTGACACAGCCTCATGCCTCTTGACCGAAGCATGCGGCCGTGCTTGACCCTCCGACAACATTGCTGGAATGTAGTTTCAAGTAACATAATGCAGTATCTTGCCACATAACGTCACAGAATGTAATATAATGTAACAGAATGTAATGTAATGTGGTATAGCAGAATATAACGGACAAGTCTTTGACTTCGTATAGACACCGATCATGACCTATGCGTAGAATCCGACATGGCCAGGACTCTGCAACTCCTTGGTCCTTGTTCCTCGGAGGGCCGCCCCGAGTTATCGTACATGCGCTATTGTGTATATATATATATATATATATATATATATATAGAGAGAGAGACAGTCTATAATATATATATATATATATGTATATATAACATACAATATAAACTGTACAACGTATAGTACATGTACGTAAAATGTACCATCTGTGGTTATTACACGTGGTACCCTCTACCTGAACCTTCGCCTTACAGTGTTCCGACATCCCTCGGCCGCAAGCCCAGCAACACAAAAACCCTTACAAACCCTAAACCATTCAATACAACCCTACTACCAGTCGTAGCCGTAATAGAACCCTGACATCGGCCTTTATTGCGAAGCTCATAAGCCGGAAGACAAGCCACTCTTCATTGCAAAGGTCTCATCTGCCCGTCGGTGTGCTACGAGCTCCACGGCCCCGAACTCTCCGACGCCCAGGAGCCCAACACCCATCAGATCTTTGCGGAAGATCTGAAGGGGGCTCGCACTTGCTGTTTGAGGAGATGCTGGCAAGTCAGTAGGGGCCTTGGCACTTAGAGCAGGGTTCGTGGGAGTATACGGTAATCAGATTCTAACTTTTTATGCTCAGGAACCTAGAGGAATGGCACTACATACAAAGTCTCCAGGCTGCTGTATCCTATACTTTCTATAGAGATTGAAGGCTCCTGGGTGTAACAGGTCGTCAGCCCGCTTCGGGCGTTCTGTACAGGTAGCTGTGGGCTGCTGGCCCTGGGGCACTCCAAAACACTGAAAGTCCCTAAACCCTAAACCCACACCAGGAACCCTGTATCTCAAACCACCCCAAGAGCCTGAGACCTTCTGCACCCCCGGAGCCCGGAGCACCAAGAACTTTCGGATTCGGTGTATGAACGGCGATAGTCCGACAGGCTTTGAGGTTGAAACTTTGAGGAGGTTGCGGATTTTTTTTGGGGATGACACCCTCCGAATTCCGAGAGCTCCGAGAAAACCGACAGGACTCTTGAATCCTCACCTTCAAGCTCTTGCACCGAACTTGCACAAAACACAAGCCGCCTCAGCTAATCCCAAACTTCAGCTCAAATGCTGGATCCTAAGCCGTATTAACCATCCAAAACTACAGCCTCCACCCCAATTTCGAATCTAAACCCAAGGCTACGCCGTAACCCCTTTGATTCACTAAACCAACGCTTGAACTAAACCCCAACGCCAATTTAATTTCGGTTCCTGCCTTTTGGAACGGCTTCACAGTCAACCCTCGATTGACCCTCGTCTGCCTGTGGCTGGGAAGCACATTTGTATGACTTCGAAAATGGGCTCCAATGAGAAACAGGGCTAGAACAGCCACTATCAACGTTCATGACTCGCAATCCCTTCGCGGCGGCTTTTCAAGTCTTATGATCGGGGGTTCCTCGTTCTGTATGATTATTGTGGGTCCTTCTGCATGAAACATCCTCATATTCAAGGGTCCATATCGGGCACCTGATTTGCTGCAACTTACATATGAGTCACGGGTGCCTTCAGGAAAGACAGAGCTTCGGCTGTCGCCGCGTCGCCTAAATCCCACACGCCGGTCGACTACTATAGAGGCCTTAAAATTAGAATAGGGTTTTGGGGCCCATTATACTATAACTATAATAAGGAACCCCCAAAATAGTATAGGTGATTGTTACGGCCCCTTTATTAGAAGCTGGCTTCTTTGGTCTCTGGCATTCAGGGCGTGGGCCGGCTTCGTAGGTTGTTGATGATGAGTTAGAAGGACCCCCCCACCCTGTAATAGTGGTATAAAAGGAATATAATGGGACCCTAATATAATCCTTATAATCACTATTACAGGGTGGGGGGGGCTTCTACATGATGAGTATGATGAGAAAATGAAAGGATCAAATAATAGCAATAACAACAGTCTAATAGTAAAACCAAGACCCTGATATTAATCAAGCGTAACAGTAATATCAATAACACTCACTGGTCATCGTCATACGTGTGGTACTAATGATGATAACCATAATACATCTACGCGATGAAGAAGTATCATGATGAGAATAATAGTAAACACTGCTTCCTCCTACGAGTGATGATACCTCCTTGTCTAGCTGGTTCGGAGTCTTCCGAGTTTTGAAAGACTCTGCTGCAAACCCTGAAATCAATAGGATACTTCCCCGCCCCTCCCTCCCCCCCTCCCCCCCACTGCCGGCTGAGGACAAGTGAAACGAACATGATGACGGGAGCGCGGCAAAGAAGAAAGGCATCCCAAGTTTACTAAACCATGAGGTTCTGAAGATTTCGATCTCTGAACCTGACAACGTTGTCAGCTCGACTAGCAGGCACGCACTGACACTCACTCACAAAACACTACCTAGGGCAACCAAGGAACCTTCCACCAGCTCTCTTCACTTGACCTCAAGCCCTACACCAACAATCCTCGAACTCTGAACCTTGAACCACAACTATGAGCCTTAAACCGCAAAGCGACGAAACATACCAACATACAGAAACATCGAAACCCGAAAGCATCGGCTTTTTCCAAGAACACGCAAAATCTAAACCCAACCTTCCTACTGTAAGCCCACCCCAAAACTTTCTCTCACACACACACACAGTACAATGCTCTTACGTATATCCCTGGGGAGAGACCTCCGAAGGAACACCCAGGAGAACGACACCCAAAGTATCCCATACCATCGATCCCCTCGAACACCGTATAAAATCCCCCTCCCAAAGCCCTACAAAACCTTATAAGCATCCCCCCACAGCCGTATAAAACCAAAGGGTCCTTGATCTCCCATCTTCCTGGGCACGTAGGATGTCCTTCTCGTCACTCTGCTTGGGGCTTTCGGGCTTTAGGGCTTAGGGTCTATAGGGCTCAGGGTCTAGGGGGGTGCTTCTGAAGAGGGCGTTTAGGAATGCTTCTAGTGCTGATGAGATTTAAAATTTAGAGTTTGGGATGATGGAAGGCTTGCGGGTTTCGTCCTGAGAGTACTCCACTGCACAGGCCGGAAACTGTCTGTGCTAGCTTGCCCTGTATACATATACATATGTGTATATATATATATATATATATATATATCCCTTATAGTCGCCCTTCTACAGAACTCTTCAGGGAAACCCCGAAAACGAACCTTATTCTCTTTATGATGATCCCCATATGTTGGGGATGCTTCAGAAGATTTAATAGGTTTGCCGACCTGCACTGCCCCTCCGTCCTCGAGGGAGCCGAGGAGGGCGTTGAAAGCGATCCGATCCAACGCGAGCACCTGCGATCCAAAGCGAGCACCTACGATTTTGGCTTTGAGAAGAGGACGCAGTGGGAACCTAGCATCATGGGCTGCCCACACCTACCCCTAGACCCTACCCCGCAATCTAGGATAAATGCCTATTAAATGAGCTTTATATGGCGGCCCACCATCTACCTTGGTGCAGCTGCCCACTGTGAGTTGTGGGGGTGGGGCGGGGTGGGGCGCGGGGCAGGGCGGGGCGGGCGGGGCGGGTGGGGTGGGCGGGGCGGGGGGTGGTAGAGCGAGTAACCCCGCTTATCACCACCTCCTCATGTAATGCTCATTTAACGCTCATTTAATGCTCATTTAACGCTCATTTAACGCTCATTTAATGCTCATTTAATGCTCTGATGCGGGGTTGGTTCTTGCAAACGCAACTAGAGCTGGTTTGGGGTGGGCTGGGGTGGGGTGTGGGGTGCGGGGTGGGGTGGGGGGTGGGGGGGGGGTGGGGCGGGGGGTGGTGGGATGTGGGGTGGGGTGGGGGGTGGTGGAGCGGAGGCAGGGCAGGGCAGCAAAAGCAGGGAAGTGCAGAGGGTGGCAGGGGGGCAGGGCAGGCAGGGCAGGGGGGGAGGGCAGACATCGTCTCTCACTAGTGTTCGTTTATTGCTCACTTATTGCTCCCATAATGCTCACATAATACATTTTTAGTGCCATTTTAACGATCATTTATCGCTCATTTATTGAGGAGAGCCGGGGTTGGTCCCCGGGGTAAGTGTCAGCAACCTATGATAGCAACTGCTGGGAAGTGGGTCATGCGAGATATTGCAGTTGCTCGGCTGTGATTTGGTTCGAGCTCTGCAAGCGATCAGTGTTTGTAGGCTGCGGTTCGCATACGCACCAGTCGGTGTGGCTCTGTTACACACTTTGCTGCTGTCAAAATCGATCGTAAGTACCACTGTCACTGCAGCTATATATATATATATATATATATACATATATATATATATATGCAATTCTTGACATCATTCCCAATATCCTCAAGTCCAATATCGATGGGAATCCCGGCAGCATCCTGCAGCACAGTCATTACAATTCAATCCTCATCTTTCTCATCAACATGGGTCGTCACCGCTACGATCGTCGCTAACACCAGGTGGTGAACACCAGCCCTAGCCAGCAGTATGCCGAAGATAGGAACGGCGGAAGAAGCTGCAGCTGTCATGCATGTGTCAAATGTTGAGGATTGCGGTCCTTGAGATTACCCAAACATGCATATACCCCCTGGTCTTGCAGTCAGCCTGCACAGACATCCCAGGCCGGGGCAGTCAGCTCAAGCAAGAACAAGCACGCTCAACAGTCTGATCGAAACCCGACACGCGATAGCGCAGCGAACCTTGGCTTGAGCAGAAGCAACTTGCACCGTCGCTGCTCGAGGCTGGCTGCTGATGAGCGCCTTCTCCTTCGATTGATGTTTGGTAGTTTGGGTGTAGCACCCAAGCCTTAAACTAAACCCAAGGGCCCATAAATGCAACTTAAAGACCCTTGGTTCCTTAAGCTTGACATGTTGGTTCTTGAACCGTGTGCAGCCTAAAGCAACACATCCTGCAAACTCCCACATCGTCAAGACATCAACTTCATGCGACCTCATTGCTGCAAGTCCTACCAGCACCAGATGCAGACACGATTCTGCATGCTCTCGTGTTCCAGGCAAGCCCCATGTTTCGTGCGCACCCTTTAATCACAGAGCCTCGATTCAAAGGTTGCGGGCGGCGTCGCCGTAAGCACAACTATCAAAGCAATGCGTCCATTCCGTGTTCGCGCTCCTCATTTTTTCATCACCACCAAATCTCACCAAGAACACATCAGCACCATCGTCAATGGTTTCGAAAACGTGCCAGGCCCCAAACCATTATGGTCAGGAGCAGTGCCTTTGCAGCCTAGGCTCGCCAAAGTGATGGGCGGTGTGCTCCTGCCGTGTAGGGGCAGAAGCTAGCTTCGCAGCGCTCGCTCAACATCCGAAGTTCCTCAAAGAGGATCCACTTTCCTGAACCTTTCCAAGACACTCTGCAGTGACCCTGAAGTTCGGGGAGCCGCTTTGGATCCTGATTGGAACTGAGAGGCCGGCTCCAGCACCGATCCGAACGGGCGTCAACTTACAGTGAGTCTAGCGACTGTGATGTAGAAGGCTTATAAGACAAACCGACAGACCCGGCCTGAAGGGACTTGGGGGGACAGTCAGCTTCGTCAGCTTCCAAGTACATGCCACTGACGCTACGATAGTTGCAATTCGGATATCGGATGTTTCACATGTGGCATGCGCGGGAGGCACTGCAAGTATCCCAGTAAACCCCTTAAAGCCTCGGAAGCAAATGTCAAGCACACCATCTCCTCCATACTGTATAAAACGGGTAGTCTTAGACTCCATGTCCTCGCACGCTGTTATCTCCCGGCCATACGGCTCATGGCATAAATCCTGCATTTCCCATGATAAAGTGTACCATAATTCCCACAGTTAAGGGTCCTTAAGGTAATGCGGGATTTATATCATCAACCGTAGAAGAAGGCAGTGTGGGATTACAGCCGAAAGCCTGGCTGGGAGCCGGCCTCGACAGATGCTTCCAAACGAGCCACCACCTGGGGATTGCTGAGGCTGCAGGCCCTGATGTAGGGGCCTAAATAATTACAAAATAATCATAACAATTTCCTTTTTGTTGGGGGGTTCCTAATTAATAATCATGGTATAGTGGGCCCCAAAACCCTGTTCTAACTATTAAGGCCCCCATCTTCATCCCTACAAGCACGGATTCTAGCGCCACGGTTCACGTCTAGAGACTTGTAAGCTGCTGGAAACTGATAAAGAACTATCCCCACCTTACCGTTGATGAGGACGGTCACCTGCGAGCAACTGCCCCTGCTGCTTCCCTTAACTGCTTACATCTGTTTAGCAGCACCGCAACGAGATAGGTCGCCGGCGAAGCGCATGATGAGAAAGCAGGACTTATAGGGACTGGTGGCAATGCATGCAAGTCGCCTTAGCCTACAAGACAAGACCTGGGAAGCTGGGACCGCATCCCGAAACACGACACCGGGTTGTTGGGGCTTGCATGGCCTTCCGGCTATCCCGTCATGGCGCAGAACGGCTGCAAAACCGGAGGGCATAACAGAAAATGCGCCGCATCAGAGCTGCAACGCGTGAACATCCGCGCGGCAACCCCTGAAGGTACGGCTTCGCTGTTGACTACCTAGGCAAGTTGACACCTGGATGTCCACGTGGGTCTGCATTCGAAAAAAGCCTGCTGCACGGGAATTCGATAAGAGTGCGTGCGATGTAACTCGCGCCATGACGGCTTTCACGACTTCATCCGATCCTTCTGGTTTCGGTCTTGCTATTCGTTTTGCGGCTTTGAGAGAGGGCATGCCTGGAGTTAGTCTATTGTTGTAATAGTTTCGCCATCACAGAGCATGCAAAGTAGACTCAAGTTGAAGGTTCGAGAACACGATATTGAAACTTCACCTCGGCAGAACGCAACTTGATGCAGCCCACACGCAGGTCGGAGGTCCTTTCGCTTCAGTGCCCATCTATCGGGAAGGCAGGAAGCCACAGCTAGACCCAAAAAGCCAAAGGACTTCAAGATGCCCAGCTCGGCCGAGGGTTTGGGATTTGGGGCTTGAGGAGTGGTGCGTGGCCTCGCCGTCAAAGAGGATGTAAAAGGAGTCTCCTGTCTCGCCTGGTCAAAATTTGATCCGCTTCTGTCCTATCGCTCAGCTCCGCACAACCTACTCTACACTCTGAGCCACGCCGCCCTGCTGCAAGATGACGTCGCCCTTGTTGAAGCTCATCTCAGTAAGCGCCTGCTTGCCGACGGTAGGCCGAATGCTGAGTGTGATCACCGCTCATACAACCTCTAAACGCCAAGAGCTTGACAAGTTTGAAATTTCTCGCGAACACCTTTTCATTGCTGAGGTGGAGCCTGCGCCGTCGATGTCTTTTCCTCTCCTGACAGCGCGTCCAGGATGGAGACTCGATCCTGGCACTGCTTTGATTGGCATTCGCTCTCTTGCGGGTTTACATTTCAGGGTTTGGCAGGGTTGGATGTTTGGGGTTCTGAAAGATTTCGCATTCAGGGGTTCATGTTTGGACGGTTAGCCGGCAGCTTGCTCTGTAAAATTGCGACTGGATGACCAGATAGCTGATGTACTCCACCAGTTTGCTGTCAGGTACCTGCCAGACACCAAGACGTCTCGGCCCAGTCAGTACAAGGCCATCCCTTCAGTTCTCCATAGCCACATCTTTCTTTGGGACAGGTGCGACAAAAAGATAATGGTGATACATCTAGCCGGGCCGAACCCTAAACACCAAGGTCATTCGTGGCCTTGAAGAGGATTTCCTTGAATTGCCACCGGTCGATGACCCAGGTGCAACTTCGCTCCTGACATCTTTATGAAGCCCCGCCCCAAGCCGAATATTTACCTATTACTATTCAGGGAGTTCCTTATTATATCTATAGTATAATAGTATAATGGTCCTTATTATATCTATAGTATAATGGGCACCGAAGCCCTATTCTAATTATCCCCTGTACGGTCTTCAAAACATCTCGGAGCAGGGCTACCGGGTTTAAGGTTGTTTATCTCGAATCGCCTCGTCTCCAGCTTCCACGAGTTGCCATCCCTGAAGTACTTTGGTGTCCGGGCTGTAGGGGCCAAGAGCCCGACTTGACGATCTAGAAGATAGATTCCTTACCTTACATAATTCTTCCGATGCGTTGCAGCTTCGCTGGCTCCCGGGAAAACGACTCCTTCGCAACCACCGAGTGCTGGTGAGGCCGAAGCTGTAGCAACGGGAGCTCACCGAAGCAGTCCCCAGGTTTCAGCTGGTCAACCTGCATCGCAGGCTGCCAACATAAAATAGGGGCCTCAATAAGTATCTATACTGTTTTGGGGAGTTTCTTACTGTCATTGTAGTATAATGGGCCCCAAAACCCTATGCTAATTATTAATCCCTTATATCAGCTCATTCATGTTCATTGCTCTACCCTTTGCCGAAACCCTGAATTCTATCTTGGCCCATTCGTCATTCCTAGAACGCCCGATGGAACCTCGACGCTTCAGAGCTCCGACTAACCCGCAACCTCCGTCAAATGCCCTGCGAGTTGATTCCTCGTGCAAGCTGCTGCCGACAGCGCTCCATCGTCACAAACCATAAGCATAATCATAAATGAAAACATCAGCATCATCATCAGTATAATCATAACGAGTACATGCAATTACAAGCAGAAGCATAACCGCATAAACATAACACCAGTATATAAACAAACACATGGCAGTTTACATACACACATATGTATATGCATTAAACAGGAATACGTCTAAACAGATGTCCATGTATCTATGTATATATATATATATATACTGTGTATATGTGTACATACAGGTAAGTCTGTGTGTGTTTACATGTGTGTCTGTATCTGTTTACGTATGTAAGGTGCCAGTAATGGCAGTAGCTTGAACGCTGAAACTAGACATCTACTGGATAAGCCGAACAATGAGATGACATGTGGCTGCGTGAGTAGTACTGATAAACAGCCTAAGAAGTAACAAATGGGCATCGTATCAGTATACATACATGAACACCGTCAGATGTATACATGCATGGGTCCATACCGATACATACAGAGTCCACACCTATACATACAGAGGAGAGGGAGGGAAGAGAGCGATCGAGCGAGAAAGACAGAGAGAGAGAGCGAGAGAGAAAGAGAGAGAGAGAGAGAGAGAGAGAGAGAAAGAGAGACGGAGAGCGAAAAAGACAGAGAGGGAGTCGGGAGGCAGGGAGGGAGGGATGGAACAAGGGAGAGAGATAAAGTGGGAGAGTGTACAGCTAGAGACGAAACACAGAACAACTACTTGACATACCAAAGCGTCCATAGACAGATGTATGTGTGTATGTACATACAACTATATACGCATGCATGTATACACCTATGCATGCATGTAGACATGAAAGCTTCTTGCAACCATACGTAGGTACTTGTAGGTCGTAGGTTAGATAGATAAGTAGATAGATAGGTAGATGGATTTGCAGAGATACAGATCTACATACATACGTACATACATACATAATGGATACATATATTACATGCGTACTAACAGGCAGACAGACAGAAAGACAGGACAAACAGACAGACAGACAAAAATATGTCGGTAGATAGATGGCCAGAGAGATAGATAGATACAGTAGATGGGTGGAGAGATCGATCGAACGAAGGCAAGGGAGGGAGCGGAAGGAAGGAGGGAGCGGAGCGATGGAGAGAGGGAGAAGAGGGAGGCCTGGGCAAGCTCCACCCCGGGCTTCTGTTGCTGCACGGTGAAGCATCCATCCTGCACACAAGGCTCCAGGATGCTTTGGAACTGGGGAAGCTCAAAGTAGATGTCTAAGGCTGGGGCTTCGCCTTTTTCTAAAGTGGCTTCAGGTTTAGATTGCTGCCGGGACACCATGAAGTGCGGGCACCCGAAACTTGGCTGTGGAACTAACATGTTCGGGATGTGTGTGTGTGTGTGTGCTAAAGTCCAGGGTACACGAGGCAGACAATCGACCGATTCCACAGACCTGACCCGTCATCGGCAAGAAGCAAATACCTCAATCCCAAACACCAGGGTCCTGAACGATGTAGAAGTAATCCGCCATGTTCCCCTGGGTAATGACAACCTGAGTGTAGGGGCCTCATGATTCACAGCTATACCAACCACACAGACATTAGAATGTTACGCCTTGTGACCACCCACTACAGTACTGTTACATTGGGACCCAAGTATATGTCTGTGTCAATATTGTATATGTATGTGTTGAATTCTATGTACATATGTAGCAATGTAGTATGTAACACTGTTACACTCACATACATTCCACCCCTTCGCAATGCACACTCAAACACTTCTGACCATTGTCGGCGGTGTAGCATAGGACCGCACAGCCCCGCAAAGCCAAATGATGAAGCCAATCCTCTTCGCATCAATTTGTGGGACCAAACCAAACCGATGCAGAAATTCGTGAACCACCATGTGCCTGAACTCGGACTTCCGCAAACACTACACACTCATCACTAGTCCCATCTTCGTGGTATGCTTGCGGAAACCTTGAACCGGAAACCCATGCATTCGACACAGAGGAAATGCCCTGTAAACAATGATATAAGCGACTTGCTGTGGCTCGAAGGTCTGTTTCCACATGAGGTCGCTCAAGGCTTCTGCTTGTAGTTCCTCCAAGGTAACCGTCCTTAGTTTCCACCGCAGAGGTGCCGAGAGGAGAAAATAATCACCGAAGACCGAAGTTGCTTCCCCAACCTAGAGGACAACCAACTCTTGATTGCAGCACGATCAAATCTTGCAGAGGACCATGGCCAGAATGTTGCTAGAACCAGCCTCTGTAACAGTAACTACATGAAGCAAAATTAGCAAGAACGAGGCAATGGGTCAAAGACAGGCCAACCCTAGTCTTATAGGATCGCGACTGACAGCTGAGTGGAACGGGTGCTCTCAAAAAGATCGCGGTAAGCGGGCCACCAGAATTGGCAGGACAAGTCAACTATAGCTCCATGCAACTTAGTTACATCATGTAGCTAGGTTGCAAATGGGTTTTTGTGTCAGAATAAGGTTAGCTAGAAGAATCTGGTTTCTGTCAGCCGACAATTTCAGGAGCACTGCGATGTTTGCAGGGCAAACGAGTGCAGTTCTACTAGGAAGGAACCCGACGAAGCACGAATGATTGCAAGGTATGACACCAAAGCAAGATGAGTGGCATGTTGAATCCGGACTGCAGCAGCATTCATGTCAGCCTCACCACTGGCACAGCCTAGCAAAGACCAACACGCTCATGCAGCCCAGGGTCGCATTTAGGTTGCTGTTCGCCATAAGAGCTTCAAGAATCATGCGCCGCTCCGAATCAGTCTTCTCCTTGAAAGTGCAACTTGAAGAGAATGCGGAGTGAAAAAGGCTGAGTCTCCACGAAGCTGTCTGTGATTCTGAGGGGAAGGGTTGAGTTGTAGCTTGGGGGTTTGGGGTTTAGAAATCCTAAACCCTCCAGAAGCAGCCTATAAGCGCTGCCTTGAACACCAAACCCGGTAGACCCTTCAGCTCCTTTTTGAAACATGATTGATACTGGTTGTTTTTTGGGGGGTGTAGTGTACTAAAGCTACGTACTACATGTCAAAGACTCGCAGCACTGTGCTCCGAAACTCTGCTCTGGACAGTCGAGATGCTGCCGGTGGCTTGGCTTCGATGGTGGCGGCCCCGTCTCCTGCGCACTCTTAGCAATCCTCTTATGCCTACATACATATATATATATATATATACATATCTGTATATATATATATGTAACTGTAAGTACGAGGATTGTGAGTGTGTCACGAATAGTGGTAACCCTGATATGTGCATCAGTCTTCCTGGTTTTCACCATCAAGCACAGCAGATGTACATAGATATTGTGCCTGCGAAGCTCTTCATTGCGGTAGCAAGTCGTCTGCAGAATTCTAGACCACCGTGATACGAAAACAGCCCAGGTGTCAAGAGTCAGCTGGCCACCTTCGCAATGCACATGGCCGTGATGCAACTCCCTAACCGAATGACAGGTAGTTCCAGCATCAACTGGCCAACATGTAAGCTACACGCAAACCTGACTGCCATTAGCTATCACGGCTTGAAGCCCAGCCCAGGCTGCCTGAAACTTTTCGCTGTGCGAACTTGACATGTTCTTCCAGGTTCAGCTCGTGGAACTTCGCCCGAGTAAGTCTGTATGCCATCACGGCCTGAAGCAGCACACGTACAATGTTGAACATCTAGGCGAACTACGAGGACGACTACTACTACTGCTACTGCCTTGCCACTACCACCGCTACTGCTACTGATCCTACTGCTATACTGCTACTGCGACTGCTACCGCGACTACTGCTACTGCCACGGCGACTGCTACTACGACTACTGCGGCTACTACTGCTACGGCCACTACTGCTGCTACTAGTCCGTCTATATACCATCCATCCGACCATCCTTATCCTCCTCCCGCTCCCGCGCTTCCCCATCCTCATCTTTGTCGTCGTCTACTTCAGGCTTTGCCATTCTCACAGACAGCGCTCCGCTCTTGAGGCTGCTGCGTTGAGTCTCCATTGGCACTCATCGTCTACAAGATGCGGATTATGTACATTTGCATAATCGTCGACATCTTTGCTATCATCCGCATGATGGAATGCGTCAACCCCGTTCCCGTTGCTTCACGTCATCTGAGCATTTGAGCGCGCAAGCTTGAGCGACTTGGTTTCATACTGAGACAAACCGTTCAATTCATGTGATACGTGTTGCGGAGAGCATACACCATGGGTCCTTCCACGGCACCCATACTAAGACATGATGGGAACTTTATCTGTCTCGAGCGCAGATCCACAGACGAGTCACATTCGCTGCCACAATTGTGGCACCTCTTGGCTCATTGTAGATGACCGCGCGCTCCCCAAAGTAATCACCTGCCTTGACTGAGAGTGTTGTGAAAGGTGCTATACTGAGGATCGCAAAGTGCTTGGGCGATGCTTGTGCAGATTTAAGACACCGCTCGTGCGGCCGAGTTTTTCTGGATGGGATTTTACGGTATCGCGCTGCGAGGTATCAACGTCGATACAAGGGTTGATTTTGCTACCTCTCAGGATTTCGAATTACTGGCATTGCTCTTGGGTCCGCCAATGTCTCTTCCCAGCATAGTCCCTAGTGCTAGTGCTCGACATGCCTTGCAGTGTTATGAGTATTTGTATAACTTTTGGGAAATTGCTCGACGACGGAGGTTAAGGATGCAGCACCCTGGCTCAAAGATTCGGTCCGACAGCTCACTGCAGCTGGGCCTTCAAGCTGGCGACCTTCTTCGGCGCTTTACCATCCTGGCAGACAATTTTGGTCAGGGTTTCGGCTTGTAGGGTTAGAGGGATCATGACGGACGAAACATCCGGATTTAAGCTCAAGGCCTGGGTACTCGCATAAAACTCGCATAGTCTGAAACCAAGAAAAGATAAGTGGGAGCTCTTCGTTTGTCTAAGTGCAGGCATGTGTCAAGCCGTGCAGCTATTCTACAAATGTCTACATAAGTACATACGAGCATGTATGTATGTATGTATGTATGCATGTACGTATGTATGTATATATACATGTGCATATACATACATGTGTATATAGATCACAGACACACACACACACAATCTCTCTCTGTCTCTCTCTCCCTCTCTCTCTCTCTCTCTCTCTCTCTCTCTCTCTCTCTCTCTCTCTCTCTCATAATTGTATCCAGCCGAACACGCCCTCTCGCCCGCAGAGTGCACGCAGCGGAATGGCAATCATGTCAGTGCTTTGCAAGGCGACTTACTTCAAAGTTTTTTCTTGGGGCTTGGATCTTCCGCAGTCTCACTGAAGCAGTCCTTGCTGACTTGCACGGTAACTTCGCCGGAGCGTATGATGAAGAGCTCATCCCCATCGTCTCCTTGCTTCACCACCTGGGCGTGGAATGGCAACCAGTGGCCAGTGGCCGGATAATAAATTTTGAATGAAACATGCCGAAGGCTGATAATCTCATCGTAGGCGTAGAGGCAACAACAAAGTTTGAGGATGCAGGAAAACTTGGCTTACTACATTCCGCAAGTGCCGCAGGAACTCATCACTGCTGCACTGTGCTCTCGTCGCATCATCACGCTGCACCCGGCCGACATCCACATTTGCAAGTCCCAGCAACAGCCCGACCAGCCCATAACACAAGCAAATCAGTGTTCATGGTGCGACGCCAATCAGCTCCAAGTATGCCTGTGCTGCCCGTACGATGTAGGGTTTATTCGGAACTGATCAACCTAAATGACCAAAGCCCTCATAATCCACGCAACAGCTTTGGTGATCTTTTAGACCGGCTTCACTACGGTGAGGCTTCAGGGCTTTAACCTTCCATGTTTCGTAGGCGTTTACGCTGGGATTGGAACTTACGTCGGAATCCTCAGCTGCAGTTATAGAAACCCCGATAGTGCCCTCATCGTGCCTTAAAAGGAACCCTCGCAGAAACCCTAATCTGCTACATACCGAAGCCCAAGGCGTGGACAGTCTGACCAGAGCGGTAATTCGTGGTGAGGACGTTTGCCACCAAGAGTGGGTGCAAATCCTACGAAGAAGGTTTGCGGGTTCGTTAATGGCTTCTTCGGACTTTCGGGTTTCGGGACTGTCAACAGGCTTTAAGATTGTATCGCGTAATGTTGTAAGAAGTCTTAGAGATTGGCTAAAAATTTAAGGCTTTAAGGGCTTTTGTGGATAGCAGGAATAGACAGCATGTCATTTGGGGAGTTGCCCTACGCAGATAGCATTCGCGCTTTAAACTGGACAACTTCTGTAATCTCGACAGCGCACACACTAAACACTCAAGTCGGACTTGCTCTAACCCCAAAACCGTCTCGCTGAAGCATATACATCCGACACCCAATAAACCTCAAAAGAAGCCCAGAAGAAACCTTTCTAGTATCTTCAAGGGAACTCTTTACAGCCCTCAGAGCATCCCCCAAAAAGGAACCCAAAGGTCTCGTCTTTTCCAGTATCCCTTGAAAGAAAGCCGCAAACGCAAAGCCCGAGAGCTCTAAGATGTCCTTCGGCAGGCGCTTGAACAGATTTACCTGTTTAGGGCTAAGGGCTTGGGGTTTGGAGCTGGGGCCCTGGGGGTTTAGGGTGTAGAGGTTTGGGGTCTATAGGGTTTAAGGGTTTGGGGATTAGCACTGAATTGCAGGCTCATGGTCCCCGAAACACAGTCAACTGAATAAAGTACCCTACGAGCGTGATGATGGACAACAGTTTAAGTGGACACTTGTACTAATTATTCCAAATTCTGCCGCGCAAGCTCCCAAATCGACAAATCCAAAGCCCAAACCCTATTAAACCCCTAACCCCTAAACACTTAACCCTAAATTTCAACCCATTATACCATAATGATAATAAGAGCCCCCAAAATAGTCTTGGGTAATTATTAAGGCCCCTATATTACGTTTGTAGAGCCCTTATAGTACCCTTATGGGTCCCTCCCCACCCTTAACCCAGCCTTAGACATGAATGTGATGTCTTGCTGAAGTGTTTCGTTCTTGGCGGACATCAGCTTCTTCTCCTGCGGTTTAGGGTTTAGGGTTTAGGCGTGAAGCTTTAGAGTTTACGGCCTATGGGGTTTAGGCTTTAGGGCTTGCAGGGTTGATGCTTTGGGGCTTATGGTTAAGAGGGCTCTGGGTTTTGCATATGTGGGCTTCAGGGCTTGCAGGGCTCAGGTTGTTTTTTCTTTATAGGACTTAGGGCTTTTAGGGGGGATTCTGGGGTTGTCTTGAAGCCTCCAAAACACGCCCCAATTACAGGGTCCAGGCTCGGGCCTCGCCTTTCAAGCAAAGACTTCTCTATGTCTAAGCCCTCTATTTGGGAGTTTCCGAAAATTAGGGGTACCTTATCTTGGGGTCCTTATATAAGGGCAAAACGGTGAGGGGTAACGGCCTGCGGGGGAAGGACAGCCCTTACGCGAACTTCGTTTTAAGCAAACGGCTGCCGCGAACTTCGTAGAAGGTCCGGGGGTTCGTAGTGGGTTCGTGGGATTCTGTGTCTTCGGCAACAGCTGTGGGTAATGTGAGGATTGTGAAGCAGCAGGGGGGCTGGGGGGACAACGTGATTCTGGAGAACTTTGTTTGTAGTAATCAATCAAATGCATCTACTTTTTCAAAGGAAGCTTTTCTATGGCTCCAACAGAGAAACAAAAATAAATTGTATTAGCAGGAATCAAGAAATCAAAAACACCACTGCAAAACCTGGGTGTATCTTTAAATTACCACCGCAGCCTTTTGGACATGAAATGACATGGACACAGCAGGGGGAGCAGGCAGGGTGTTTCATTTTGATTGGCAGTCAGGATATTCGGAAACTATCCTTCCAATTGGTAGAACATATCTAGTAAAGGTTCACATAGACGTTTGCTCGACAAGTATGAATCATTCTTAGTGGATTCCACAAATAGAATTCAATTAAACCGAATCGAAGGCGAAGCCGAAGTCGTCGCCAGGAGAGAGACCAAGACGCCGGGAGATCCATCAACCTGGGCAGCTGTCATGACACGGTTGTCTGAACAAGAAAAGAATCGGCGAGGCAACTTCCTGCAGTTAACATCCTTCCGACATGAGCGAAACTGTGATTGAGTTGCGGGCTGAGAAGTCCCGGTTTCGGCATAGCCTGGCAAGCAGCAACAATGAGAAACAACAGGCTTGAGCGATCAACCAAATTTGCCGCACAGTCAGCCGAGACAGCAGTATTTTTTCATGCCTTGAGGCGGCTTCAGAGAGATTTTCACAGTCAGCCTACCGCCAGCCATGCACTTGCATCCCCATGTTCGACAATGGCAAGGCCTTCAGTGGAACGACGATTTGCATCCTACTACTACATGTTATGAAAACATGAGTATGTATGTGTACATCACACGACCAAGGCCACAGCGAATGACATGGAGAATTCAGTGTCCGGGCTGGCCCCAGCGGCGACATGCCATCCGAGATCATGAAAATCTGAAGCTGTGAATGAGATTTTCACAGTCAGCCTACCGCCAGCGATGCACTTGATCCCCATGTTCGATAATGATGGCAAGGCCTTTAGTGGAAGGACGATTTGCATCCTACGACTATATGTTAGGTATACATGAGTATGTGTACAGTACACGACCAAGGCCACAGCGAATGACATGGAGAATTCAGTGTCCGGGCTGGCCCCAGCGGCGACATGCCATCCGAGCTCATCAAAATCTGAAGCTGTGAGTTAGGCTACCGCCAGCGATGCACTTGCATCCCCATGTTCGATGATGGCAAGACCTTTAGTCGAAGGACGATTTGCATCCTACTACTAACATGAGTATGTAAACAGTATACGACCAAGGCCACAGCGAATGACATGGAGAATTCAGTGTCCGGGCTGGCCCCAGCGGCGACATGCCATCCGAGCTCATGAAAATCTGAAGCTGTGAGTGAGGCTACCGCCAGCGATGCACTTGCATCCCCATGTTCGATGATGGCAAGGCCTTTAGTGGAAGGACGATTTGCACCCTACTACTAAGATGAGGATGTATACAGTACACGACCAAGGCCACTGCGAATGACATGGAGAATTCAGTGACCGGGCTGGCCCCAGCGGCGACATGCCATCCGAGCTCATCAAAATCTGAAGCTGTGAGTTAGGCTACCGCCAGCGATGCACTTGCATCCCCATGTTCGATGATGGCAAGGCCTTTAGTCGAAGGACGATTTGCATCCTACTACTGACTAACATGAGTATGTGTACAGTACACGACCAAGGCCACAGCGAATGACACGGGGACTTCAGTGTCCGGGCTGGCCCCAGCAGACAATCTCTCATCAGGCTAGAGAGTCACTGCAAAAACAACGGCCTTTGTCGAATACGACGTGTTGCAGTAGTACATCACCACTAGTCTAGTAGTAGTAGTACTACTACTACTACTACTACTACCACTACTACTACTACTAGTAGTACTACTACTACTACTACAACTACTACTACCTTTAGGACTACTAGTACTAGTCGTACGAGTGCTAATACTACAACGACTACTAGTACTACTACTACTACTACTACTACTACTACTACTACTACTACTACTACTACTAGTACTACTACTAGTACTACCACTAGTACTACTAGGACTACTACTACTAGTACTACTACTGCTACTAGTACTACTACTACTACTACTACTACTACTACTACTACTACTACTACTACTACTACTACTACTACTAGGACTAGTACTACTACTAGTACTACTACTACTACTAGGACTAGTACTACTACTACGACAGTACTACTACAAGTACTAGTACGGCTAGTCGTACTACTAGGTACTAATAAAGTAATAATGATTATACTCGGACTCGTGGCAGTGAGTATTGGTGAGAATTAGGACATGAGCGAATCCAAGACGAAGGCCATTGTCTTTGCGAAGACCAGGACCACGAAGACGACCGGCTCAGCGCTTGCGCTTGCCGGACGAAGGCGGCGGGCTCACCGGGTCCTTGCCCGAGCGCCCGGACCCGGGAGTCTTCGGGTCGGAGCGAGCCTTCCTCTTCGGCGTAGCCGGCGGGGGCTGCTGCTCGGCCTCCTTGGGCTTCGAAGGCGAAGTCGAAGACGAGCCTGATGGAACCGCCTCGAAGAAGAGGGGCCTCTCAGGACCCGCCTCGGCCCCATTGTGCTCCATGACGTGGGTCATGGGGATGCTGATGCAGCCCTTCACGAAGGCCGTGAAGAAGAGGTGGGGGCCCTTCATCGGGAACCCGCGGATCTCCTTCGGAAGCCGAAGGCGAATGTCCGTCTTCAGGTACCGCACGACCCCGAACGTCGACTGGTCCCCGTCATCGGCGGCATGCTCAAAGTTCCAGTACTTGTAGAGCGGATGGGCGACGAAGTCCTGCAAGAAGCTTCAGGCCGGCCAAAAAAAACAATCCAGTACATAATTAATTAATGTAAGGCTGATATATAGGTATTTTAAGTACCTATTTAGACCAGAACATCCCCGTCCTCCCAGGTCTCGCATACCGGCTCCGAAGACGAAGACCAAGACTTGAGAGGACTGTCCGACTCCTCGCTTCTGGTCTTGCACCACTGGAGCAGCTGGCTCTTCTGCTTGCTGGGCAAGGCGCTGCGCAGATCCACATGGAGGACGAAGGCGACGACCTCCGTGACGTCGAACTTGGAAATCTTCTGCCCCTTCTTCAGCATCTTCTCTATGAAGGAGGCAACTGCTGGCGTCACCAAGGCGAGGATTTCCAAGGCCACCGGGACGGTCAGGAGTCGGAACTTGTTCATGTAGCTCGGCAACCTTGTGTCCGCATCGGCGTCCGTCAGGGCATTCTTCTGGTCCAAGGCGTCATAGGAACCGAGCATGATCGAGCGGTGGATGTGTTCGAATCCCCTTGGGTGCGACTCGCACCACTCCACGATCTGTTCCATCATGATGGCCTGGTTAGCCTTGTCGCTGGACAACACCTGTTTTTGTTCCCTCCTCACAGCCTCACTTTTCTTCTCGGCAAGGCGCTGTTTCTTGCTGGCCCCATCCGCCGCCGCCGCGGTCTTCTTACCAGCTGCCTTGGGCGCCATTGCGAAAGAAGGCGAGAGAAGATGGAGGGAGAGAGCTTGCTCGAAGGCGAATCGAAGCCGAAAAAGCTGCTTTTTCGTTGGAGCATGCACACTCTGAACGGCATGAGTCTTGAGTGTCACTGACTTTGCACAAGAGAAGGGTCGCGATACAAGCGAGGCTGGGTGGACCTTGCGAAGGCGAAGTCCCAGTTGTCACCAGGGCTTGGCAACCTGCGAATGTGTGTAGTCGGAATGCTGTCACTGATAGAAACCCGTAACGCTGTAGATTCCCTGCCCGCTCCGCCCCGGAACCAGAAGTGTATAATCCTTACATGATGACAGAATCAGCAGCAGGACGACGTGGTCAAGCAGTCCGAATCGGGCGAATCGTTTGGATTTGAATGTTAAATTCAGGCTGTCCGGTTTACGGTTCCTGAAAAAGTTTGGGGTGTTTAGTGTGGAAGGTGCTCTACGCCCTCGGTGTTGCTCGGACATGTGGGGTTTTCGGGCTTAACAGCTGAAGTCTAATCAGGGTTTGAAGTCGAGGGAATGGGCATCTGACTTGTTGACGGTCTGGGGTTCCCTTTGGTTCGGGCAAGTTCAAGTTTAAATAAAATATTGATGTCTTAGGATCAGAGGCTTCGTTAATTAATCAAAGTAATCAAAACAAAGCAGAATCTTCCGGCCTTGACGGATAACACAATCTAAACCTGACCGACAGGAAGAAAACTAATTGTCGCCTGAGCTCCAAGTTAAGTTGCATTGTATAATAAACTCTTTCCTTCCTTTCCCCATCAATGGACACTCGAAGACCTTGCTGTGCAGCAGCGGGAGGCGCAAGGGGCTTTTGGCACGACTGACGAGTAGAATAGGCGTTGACACCCAAGAGTGCTACAGTAGACGTAAAGGTAGAGGCAAGTGAGGGAATTGAAAAGAGACATGAACGAATACAGTATCGACTGTTTATTGCTTTGCAATCCTAAAATTTTGTATAGCTCA